GTTCTGAGTGGTGGCCCATGAGGGGCTGCTCCTCTATCAGAAACAATGTATCTTTGTGAAATAACAGGTCTAAATGGGGAAGGAGGTGATATACTAATTCTCATGATTTTTCTCATGGTTGCAAATGGGGGAATTATTTAGCCTGCTCTCTCTCTCTCTCTCTCTCTCTCTCTCTCCTGTTTATTTCTGACTCTGTTAATTTTTATCCCGACTAGCACTTTATTTCGGTATCATCTTGGTGTTTGCAGGATACATATGTGTTATGTAATATACAGAAGCACAGGTTCATCCATGCTTCTGTTGTTGTTCTTTGAGCCTTTCAGTATTGCTTTTGAGACCATGCAAGTAATGTCTCTGGAAAACTTCTTTTCTAGTTTTATACAGAAATTGTAAATATGGTACGTAGATTTTAATCTTAGTGAGACACAGAGCACTTGTTGACTAGGTTATATTCTCTGTAGGCTATGCTGGTTCATGGATTTCAGTTGCTTGAGATTTGGCTCCATCATTCGACTGGGAATAGTGCAAATTGCCAAAGATTAAAATTTTTTGATGCAATAAGAGCAGGTACTTCCTCAACTTTTATTCTGCTATATGAATGCCAGTATCCTATATTGTATCAGGTGATAGGCAACAGTATTGTTATATGTACAGTATATTATAGTGTATGTGTTAAGGCAATTTACCTTGGAGATCAGACACAAAGTCAAGATGCTGCTTGAACAAAGTCAATTTCCAAACTGCAAAGATATATTTTTCAACTGAAACATCCAATGGATATGTTAGGAATTTAAAACAGTGAACATAATTAAAGTATTTGCTCTGCTCAATCAAAAAGATTAAGCACTGCTCAATTGTATAAAGTTTGTAGGTGGAATAACAGTATTTGTGAATGTGAAGAACTAGTACTAGTGGTAGAAATAGAACTTGAAAGAGGAGGGTGGGGATGCATTTTCTCTGCACTTGACACACTACAAGAACTTGTTGTCGTGTTAAAGACTTTTTTCCTCTAGTAACTGAGACCACATGGATGTGTGTGTAATTACTATGTTATGTGTTTGTGTGTGCATAAATGGGAAGTTCTAAATAGTGTAATGGATAGTGTGTGTGTATGACAAGTAAACAATTACTTTCATAAAAAGTTGTCTTTAAGGGCAGTTTCAATATAATTTTAAAAATGCTGTTCGGTGGTCCTAGTTTATTTATATCACTTTGTTCCACTTTATCACACTTCTAGTGGATTTAATGTGATGATATTTTCCTGATTAAGGAGTGTGGTTGCAGGTTCATTGTTGGAGTGGAAAGGCATTCTTATCCGGGATATGGGCTTTTCGCTAGAAATGGCAGCCTTGTTAATGGCCCTTGGTCATTATGTGCATATGTGGTGGCTCCATGGTGTGGCACTTCATCTTGTGGATGCGGTCCTCTTTTTTAATATACATGTAAATATTTTGCTCAACTTTCTTTTTGGAACTATTTAACATGAATGAGTTTGTTTATTTTGACACACTGATTTGATGTCCTTTATATTAATTGATTCTGGTAAGTTGAGCAGGCTTTGCTAAGCACTATCATAAAGCGTATAAAAGGATTTATCAAGCTTAGAATGGCTTTAGATGCCCTTCATGCAGCACTTTCTGATGCAACATCTGAAGAGCTACGAGCATATGATGATGAATGTGCTATCTGTAGGGTATGGTTGGCTTATATCTTGCTCTTTTTTTTTTCATTGGAACTGTAACTGTCTAATGAATCGGGGTAATGACAGGAACCTATGGCTAAGGCCAAAAGGCTACTTTGCAGTCACCTTTTTCATCTTGCTTGCTTGAGATCTTGGTACAACTTTGTAACTTATTGCTTTTGAGCAATTTTATTTGGCTATTCCTATGCTTAGTAAATGTTGAATAGTGCTCAATATTACCAGGTTGGATCAGGGTTTAAATGAGATATACTCATGTCCCACTTGTCGGAAGCCACTTTTTGTAGGCAGGCCTGAAAATGAAGCAAATACACATACTGGAGAAGCTCTGGCTGATGAGCAGCTTGCTCATCAAATAAATGAAGGATTTGATCGGCAAAACACTCCAGGTCGTGCACTGCTTGATGGGGCATTCCCTACCCAGATTCGGAACTCTACAGAGAGCAGCCCTTGGAGGTTCGGCCCCTTACCTTAGATCATCATAGTCTCTCTTGATTGCCTAGAAATGAGTACAGCTTGCTGCTTCTAGATGAAAACAATCATTTTTTCCCTTAAAATGGTCAAGGAATTTCTGAAATTTAGAGCTAGTGACCATTCTGCAATTGAGCAATGGTTAGCATGTTACCTCGCAGTAGTTCCTCTATGAGCACCCATAAATTCTAGCATTATTGGAAATCTTGAATCTAGATTTGCTCGGGATCTGACATTGTGATGACTCTTTAGCTGACTGGCTGTCATATTCTATTGGATCTAATGGCCATGTTTAAGTTGACTTTAACCAAATTTTCTGCTTAAGAAAACAGAAAAAGTAAATTCCAACACATGCATGTTTCCTTTTACCTAAGAAGTAGATGGAGGCAAGAGAGGTGATGATAACCAGGAATGCTCACCCAAATTTTAAATCCTAGTCTGCCATTGGCTGAAATTGCAGTTCCAAACATCTGAGTCTGTCTAATCTTTTCCACAAGTAAAAGACAAATGGTCATTGCATAGATTTCGATTTCAAAGATTGGTGCCAATGTTTCCATCAATTATTTTGATCTCTCTCTTTCTTGCACCATAGAAGTGCAGGGTTGGATTCAAGTTGGCTACCTCCTTGGTCCGGCCAGGGTGCGGATGGGGCTGGTCCCTCAACGGCTATGAGATCAGTTGGACTGGGGGGAGTTCAGATGATGATGAGGCATCTAGCATCTGTGGGAGAAACTTACGCACAATCTGCTCTCGAGGATGCTGCCTGGAGCCTTTGGCCAATGAGTCCATCTCAGGCTACTCCATCTGCCTCTTCCACCCCTCCTGCCGCTGGTGGAAGACACCCTGGTGGCACTGGTGGTTTACATATAAGGACTGGATCACACTCCACAAGTGATTTCATAGCAAACATACTTGCTATGGCTGAGACAGTGCGGGAGGTTTTGCCCCATGTTCCAGATGAGTTGATACTCCAGGTTCTGTTTGAACTTTCTTTTATTTTCATGTCTCCAGGTTCTTCATTTGTTCCTTAGGTATACGTTTTGTGGTTAGTTACAAACTAGGTCTGCAAACACATTGTCACTTGTCATTATCATTTCCTTTATGTGCTTTCTTCGATTCCCTCTTCTTCCACATTGCATCACTATCTGTTATGATCCTTTGTAACACATCTCCATTCTGTTGCCAGCCTTCAATAACATATAACATGAGATTTATACTTTTAAACCTGTTCACAAGTTTGAATGTTGATTTAAAGAATTAGGGTTGGAGCTTTTTTATTTATATAAATTAGGAGATTGGTTTTATAGTGTGTAAAATATTTTCCAGACTCCAACTTTGTTGGTTTTCATGGATTATGTTTCGTAGCAATTCATTTTTTTTATAGTATCCTGTAGTCTTAATTAAGAACCTCCAATGCATCAAACTTTGCAGGACTTGCAGCGAACAAATTCTGCTACTGTTACTGTAAATAATCTTCTGCACATGTGAGATGAATACTCTGTAATGGCTTCATGTGCTCGGCAGTCAACCTTTTCTTCCAAGTACTGAGTGTCCCTGAAGGTTTGGGACCATGCACGACATTGCCAATCACCCCAGACCGTTTTCTTCTCATTGCACTTTTGCCTTTTCAAATATCCACAAGCTTCAATATATGTACATACCAAGTCATTGTACACGAGAGGGAAAAGGAGGGAAGAAGGCATAATGTAGTGCTAGGTTTTCAGTTTCATGTGAAAAATAAAATCTATACATATAGATAGATGGGAAGGTTGAGCCATTGAGGCAGGTCTTTGTGCTCTGCGCCTCGAGAGAATTTAGGGCATCAAATCAATTTGCTACAAGCTACAAAGGGCGAAGCTGTACTGCCTGGTTCTGCACACAGTGTACAATTATGAATAATATGTATTGTTTTGATCAAGTAGCTCTTGTTAGATTCTGAGGAAACTAAATGATTTACCTCTAATGCTTGTCATCAATTGCTAATTTTCAATCGAAATTTTGCAGCCAGTTGTGATTGCATCCGCATAGTTCTTTGTTGACAAGTTATTATTTCACAAATACTCCCACGCTGATGATTCAAGTAATCTGCCTCAACCATATGCAACCTAGTGGCAAATGGTATTTGTCTTCCATTTCTATTTAGTCAGATTTCTGTTTGAGGAAACCAATTGGTTTCTGTAAAAGGATTTGACAATTCCCTGATGTTTCTGATGTTTTACTCAAGGTAAATGAATATTCACTGAGGGTACTCAGATTGGAGAGACATTTGGTCGGTCCGTGAGGTTCCCGTAAAGACCCACCTGTAAATTCGTTTATGGAACAAACTCTGCGAACTTTATGGTGCGCCGAATTGAAAAAAATATAGGCTTTGCGACAGCTTGCCTCGACTATTTGTCTTGTACACGTAACATGATACCAACTGTTCAATCACCTAGTTTGGGAGACAGACATCTCAATGTCTCAAATCTTGGCCACAACTCTAGTCTCCTCACATCTTTCGTGGAGGATTCCAACTGTAAAACTCTCTTTAAGAAATTATTACAAGATTCAAGCTATGCTCACTTATATCACATGAAACCCATCATAATTTTATGCGTGTGATCTGATTTATGTCGCAATTTTTCTTAAAACTTGGAGCTAGGTCTTTTTAATTTTAGGCCATGGAAGTTGAATTGTTATAGGTGTAACTTAAAAGTAGTTCAAGCGACAACAACATTTTCAATGCATGGTAATTTATTACCACAACGCAGTTAGAAAGTAAAATTGCATATAAAATTCTAGAATGTTAGTAGTGTGTGTGTGTGTGTGTGTGTGTGTGTGTGTGTAAGGTAACATGATGGACGAGAACTGCAAACACGGAGCCACATGCATGAGATCAGACGACAAAATTTGTAGTGATTTGAGCTTACCTCTACAGCTTTGAAATCCTAACATTTTGTTATCTTTGACTTCTTCCACTAGTCCCATGATAAATTTTTTTACAAGTATAAATGTAGATGTGCTTTTTGACTACAATCCATGCCCTAATTATTTATTTATTCATATCCTTCAATTATTAATCTAGATGATGGTGAAAATCGTTCAGGGAGTGCTTAAAACTGCGGATTATTAATAATAGTTAAGCATGAAAATGGGTGCCGTTTAATTAGTTTACTAAGCAAAGTCACGATGCCTTCTTAAACCGTGCATAAATCAAGAAAGATGTTACAAAGTGCTGCCATTTTATTTTATTTTTGTTTAATTTTATGGAACTCCAAATATTTTGTTCTTTCATTCTCCTTTAAAAAGAAACTTTACCCTCTACTGGTTGGAGGTCCCTTACTGCTATTGAGAAAGCGACTGGTTAAAGGGCCAGCATCCCCTGCTATTTCCTTTCTCCCTCAGTCTCATCATATTATTACTCTTTCTACATGTTCTGTTTCAAATTTCCTTCTTATACGTCTCAGTTTGGCCCTCACAAAACCCTTTTGAATACAAATACAAATACATATATAGCTAGCTAGTCTTCTATATCCCATCCCATAACAGTTAACACACACATACCAAACAACTCTCATCTTGATTTCAACTCTCCCGCTCTCTAAGATTTAATCATGCCCATCAAATCCTTTCTACTTTCCATTTTTCTCTTGTCTCTTTCCATGCATGCATTATGCAATGCTCGAAATATTGGGTTTGTGAAAGAGGGTTTTCATGCAGAAGTCTATTTCTCTGCCAAGGTTGGTGTCCTACGTACACTCCCACTACAACATGTATCATTGATTCTTTGATTATATATCCTTCACCCTCTTTGCGTGCGTGTAGTTTTAAATTTAATTTGGGATCTAGTGCAGGTTGGAGAGGAGGTCGAACAAAGCATGGATTCAGTTCATGGAACTAATGACAGAGAGGACATCAGTGAAAAGAGTACTCCTGGTGCTGCAATTATTACTCAAGAATCAAAGGATTCAAAGGCAGTTACCAAAAGTTCAGGTCATGATCAAAATCCCATCAAGCCTCTTGTTCCAGTTTCTTGGCGTGTGCCGCACAAGAACCTCCATCAAATCCCTGGGTTTCAATCAGATTATGCTATGCCTAGAACACGAACACCTTCTCATAACTGATTAATCTCCCTCTTTGAATCTTATGTTATGCATTCATGTCCACAATTTTTATCCGACAACAAAGGTATCCAAAAAATGTACCCACCTACATCTCCGGATACATGAAAACCGTCCAGCCTACTTGCACCAGCTAAATGCTCTGACCAAACTCCGAGGCCGGCCAGCAGCATTTGCAAAACATGGGATTATTTAAAACGAGAGCAGCGCCGGCAATAGTTGAGCCCAAGACATGCATTCATTCCATACAGCTCGAGCAAGTCCTTAACCATTAGGCCAACTTCATATGTCCTTTTAAATTTGAGAAGCTGTCTTTTCTTTTAGAAGCTATCCTACTATTTATATACCTTCACGGGCTTTTGTTATTTATAGAAATTAAGAGACTAGTAGGATTGTTATTTCACTACTGCCATTGCCTTGCTATAACAACAGCATGTCTCCCAGTATATTGCTTAACTTCTTACCCATTTTTGTACAGAAAAATCAATAATATAATCTATCATTCTCGTTGATGTTATCTTCTTATAGCCATTAATTAGTATCAAGTATCTTTTCAAACACTATTTTTCTGATAGGGATGGAACATGAAGGTAGTAAGATTTTCAAGTGTCCTAATTCTCATGTGGTATCGCTTAAAGCAACAAATACAGAGGTAACGATGCTTAATGCTTTTGAGTCTTTATGTATAGTGCAGGAGTAGCAGTGAAGGATCTAGCTTATAGGGTTTGAATGTCTGGGGCAGTTAAAGGTGAGCAGGTGCTCATGAACCATCACTTTCCTCTTGTCCATGATGAGAGTGACAAGGGCAAATGATCCATGCATGAATTTATCTGCATGTGCCTCTACGCATTAAGTGGGGCTAATCAGCTAGCTACATTGCATGAAGTAGAAGATAATTATTTAGTAAAACTCTTTAGAGGTGAAATCTGTGGTGTCAGGTGTGTGCAATTATATACATAAAGATATTGTATCGAATTGGTATATCGTAAAAAAAGGCTCGGATCTTCTGCGGGAATGATTTGAAAGATCCAAAACAAAAAAGAGTGGTATTAATTTGTTAGCAACAATATAATAAAGATGGTCAATCAACAATCAACATGTATTGATCCGAAATCTTATTCAAATCTAATATAACATGTGCATAAAAAATATATTAAATCAATTCTTTTTAATGAATTAATTCAATAAGGATTAAATAAAAAATGATATTTTAAATTATAGAATTCTAATAAAATATTACGATCAAATAATATTTATTAAATTTATAATTAGGTATGTCCAATTTTAATTGATGTCAATTGATCCTTCGTTATTGTATTGCTTAGAGGTAAGGTAATAAATACGGATGTCATGATTTAAACACATTTTATATTCAAAACGAACACTTATCAACCGGCGCGACCTTGATTTATAGTATGCATTGGTTTGTTTTATTTTTTTTATTTTTTTTTATTTTGACCTCAAATTTTTTATTTTAGTCAACCTTATAGAATTAGAAGGCTTTCATTCTTTTTTTTTTTTTTTATTTTGACCTCAAATTTTTTATTTTAGTCAACCTTATAGAATTAGAAGGCTTTCATTCTTTTTTTTTTTTGTTCATTTTTTTGGAGACACCAGTATTGATAGTAAAACATATGCTACTTTCATTCATCTTCTTTTTCCTTTTTTTTTTGGCCAACTGATATGTGAGGATGTGTGATCATATGTAAAGTGTAAATAGAACATATATATAAATTAAAGAAAGATTCCAAGTAATTAAGTGGGCTACCCTAAAATATATTACATAGAAATTGTTATGTGTTGTTCATGTAGGGATATTCACAAGGCGAGCACTGACAGTAGTCGGATTTGGTTCCAATAGTGTTAAGAAAGCCATAGACTCCGATGAGAATAAGGTACAAATGGTTGCTGCGGTGATCATAGATTATGAACCACCACAGCGGACGCCACCAATTCACAAAAGAAAAACTCAGTTATACCTAGCTAGATAGGTAGGCAATATTTCTGTCATAATTTTGATTTCCTTAATTTCTTGCTTTGTTGCTCATATTGCAAGTCTATGTTCTCCTACACAAGCCATTTTCTTATCGGCTATGGATATATAACTTTTCTTCTTTGTATCACTTGTTTGAATATTAAATCTGAGATCATTAATTAAAGAAAAAAAGTGGCGATCAATGGCGGAAAAATGGGATTAGTAGTAGTTTTTTTTTATTATTAAGAAAGTGGCATCCAATAGAATTAATGCTTTCAGTTTAAACAACCTTCAGAATTGCTAATTTGCTACAAGTCCCGGGTACAGTATTTTGGGATATTATTACCTCAACATTATAAAAGAACTGGAGTGTTTTATGTTAATTTTCTGTTTATATAAATAATAAAACATTATAATATAAGTAGTAAAACACTTTAATATATATTTTTAATTATTTTATAATAATCATGTGCCGTCAATTAGTTGGCGAGTGCGGTGGTGGCAAGTTCAAGCGAAACTAACAATGTAATTTTGCGGATGACTTGTCATTTGTGTGTGTGTGTGTGTGTGTGTGAAAGCCAAGCTTGCAGGCATGATTGGGGGGCCAATAGCTAGACCCATTTTTATTCTTTTATTTTGTTTTTTCTTTGTGCGCCAAAAAAACCTTTATCAAATTGATTTACTTTTTAGTTTTGATATGGTTTTTAAATATTATTATAAATTTTTATTGGAATTTTAATAATTTTTTTAATTATTATGTGTCTGATAGGAAAATAATAATATCAGAAATAAATTGTTCATGAAAATCATTTTTTTATTTTTATAATTTCTAAATAGATTTTAAACATAATTTTATCATATTTATAATATTTTTAGCTTTCAAAATATAAACATATTTTTTTAATTAGCGTTAACAATTATAAAATATTTTTATTTAAAAATATAATGACTTCAATAAAAAAACATTTTGTTTATTAAGATAAACCTGAGATAATAATTCAAAATGACTGTATTTTTATGTTTAATGTTAACAGTGCCAAATAATTCTCCAAAGACTAAATATTTTTATTTTATGTTAAATTTATTTATATATATATATATATAATTTAAAGATAAAGTTATAATGTTTAGTAAAAAAAAGGTTTTTTTATTATTAATGGAAATATAATGGCACTTTGTAATATGGCCTTTTTTGTTTATATTTTTTGCATGCTATGAGATCATGGAAAGTGTCAAAAAATTATAAATTTCAAGATGTAAAATTTAGTTTTTTAAAAAAATAAAAGCAAAGCAAAAAAAAAAAAATCGACCACACGAGATTTGTTGTAATTATCCCATAAAGAAAATATGATGTTTTAATATTTCCATTTCTTACCAACCATAGGAAAAGGCTATATTAAATTCTCACATATAGTATGAGAAAATTACTTATAATATCTTATAATTTGATGGAAATTGTAATTACCTAATAAGTTTTAAAAAATTATAGCTTGCATCAAACGTGTGGCATATTTTCATCATTATAACAAAAATAATTAAATATTTTTTTTTGTTTTTTTGGACAAGTCAAGTACAATATATTAAAATTTAAAATACAAACTATAATTTTTCAAAACTCCATAACAAGCTTCAATCAAGGAAGGATACTAGGTGTAATTTTCCTAAAAATAATGATCTTCATTTTCATTGTACAGAGTATATATGATGTAGCCCCGTAGTCCTTGACAGCAGTGGAGTTCAAATCATGTAAAGGAGGAAATCTCTAATTGAAACATAGCTTTGATCCCTTATTCAGAAAAGAAAATTGAAAAGGACCTTTGGCCCTAGCCGAAGGTCTCACTTTCCTTGTAGAGACCCCGCTCTGCCGGGTGCATGGATTGTAGTTTTCAGCACCGATAAGCTGATCGACTAAAAAGAAGACTAGAGTCATCCCATGACCCCTCTCATAATATTGGATCGAGCAGCGGTGCGTGTAAAGGCCCTATTCTACAAATTAATCAAGTGCTTGGCGTGAGGAGAGGCAGCCTAGGTTGCCCCCTTGACAAAATGCCCTAACGTGGCTCGTAAGAAAAATACAAGTATTAAGATATTTCTCATTTCGATAGCTTTTCTTCTTCTTCCTCGAAGACAGTATTGCTTGTTAATTGCCCAATATATTGTGGTTGAAAGTTATAGCACTTAGCATCGTAAAGAGCATAAAAACTAACTAATGAATTGAGAGTCACTTTTCAAAGTCTTCTCGGATGTGATTTGAGGTCATGATGAAGCGTAAGAACACACCTTCGACACACCTCTTGCTGGAGATAAAAGTCCTAACCTCCTCGCCTGAGAAATTAAATATATACTAATCTATACAGGCAGAGATTTGTTTACTTATTGAAAGACCAAGCATAACAGAAGAATTCGACTCGTGGTCCTCTATCCAACGATGGCGTTCTAGTTTCAAGATTAAACAATTACCAGTACTCCCGCTTTACGGACTTACGGTGTCTGGTCTGAACTCGGGGAATGTGGGAACAAGACAGGGGGGGTAGCCATCGTTTCAAGAATGTCTCCCGGACAAATATTAGTTGTAATATCACAACAGTCCTGTACACCAAAAATCAAGGAAAAAGGAGAGCCTCGATGCTTTAGAAACTTTGAATATATAATCTGAACATATGCGTGCGTAGTGACAAACAAGTGGGAGTAGAGAAAACCACCACATCAAGGAACATCAGGGTGTACATTAATTAGCATGCATGCCGTAATTTACTCTATCTAGCTAGACATTGCCGCGATAAATCTTGGGTGCTGCAATCGATTAAATTATGCTGCCATTTCAAGAGACAAAGCCATCAATTGCGACGCATCTTCAAGTTGACTAATCGCGATTGAAGCTAGCTCAAAGTGTTTGCATGTGAGAAAGGAAAAGGAAAAGGCAATATGGAAAAACACGGCAAGAACAAATTAATTAATTAATTGGCTCATGCAGCGAATTTTAATGCATGATTAATTAAGAACAAAATAAATACATGTTTTTCATCAACTAATGAATAAACACATGCGATAAA